ATCTTTGCAGAACCCACGAGGCCTGGTCTCAGACCAAGCCGCGAGGGCGTTGACTCCCGAAATCCTCTCCAGGTATACTCGTTACCCTATCGTATTCTGAAGTCTCTTTTCCTACAATCACTCTGTGTCCTTTACTTAAGGTATTATGTCATACATTGTAACACATTTCCTGCTATCCCTGCGTGCTCCTTATCTCTTGTGAGGCTGCATAGTTTTAATTCCCTCCTTTTAGTCAGGAAACATGCCATTCACTCATTCCTCTCCCTCCTGTCTCACTTCTGTTTCTCCCTCATCGAACTCAAACAGGCGCTACAAGATTTTCCATATCTAAATCGTGTTGATTATTTTTTATATAACTTTTTTTTTTAAGTTCTCCAGCACTCTTTTAATTATCTTTTTCAATACCTAAGAGAGTATGAACATCAGTGATACTGGTGTGTAGTATGACGCTTCCAGGCTGCCTCTTTACTTAAATATTGCAACTACATTTGCTATCGTCTAGACCATATCAATTATCCAATATTATATATATATATATATATATATATATATATATATATATATATATATATATATATATATATATATATATATATATATATATATTATATATATATATACATATATATATATATACATATTTTATATATATATATATAATATGCAAAACAACCACTCTGAAAGAATAGAGAAATTCCAAGCGCTTTCGTGACTACTCACATTATCAAAGTTCCTTGATAATGTGAGTAGTCACGAAAGCGCTTGAATTTCTCTATTCTTTCAGAGTGGTTGTTTTGCATATTTTGAAATCACCTGTTTACTGTGATCTTATTGCATATATATATATATATAATATTATATATATATATATAATATATATATATATATATAATATATATATATAAATATATATATATATATAAATATATAAAATATATATATATATAATATAATGTTCGTGCCGAATAGGCAGAACTTGCGATCTTGGCTTAAATAGCAACGCTCTCTTGCCATATTAGACAAGTGAAAATTTGTGTATGCAATAATTTCGCCAAAATCATTATGAACCTAACGAAAAAAATATATTTTAATGTGTTTGTTTATTATTAAATTACTGTAAACAAATCTAAAATTTTTTTTAGTTTGGGTTAGGCAAAAATAAATTGTTCTTGCTAAATAAGGTTGGGTAATTTTTAAGATTTTTTTGGTCAAAATTAAAAATTTTTTACTAAACATTAATGAAAAAAACATATTTTTAAAAAAGTATAAGAAAAAATTTCAGAAAGGATTAAATTTTTAAATGATTTTTGCTAATTGACCAGTTTCTATTGGGCACGACATAAAATATATATAATTATATATATATATAAATATTATAATATATATATAATATATATATATTTTGTGACTACAAAAATGTTATTGAATCATTTAACAACACTGAACTAGCCGATGTTAGAACCCTTTTTTGGCCCACCTCTGTGGGGAAATCACTGATGTTCTAACCCCGGATCACGCAATCCTAACGAACGTTTCCCAAACATGAAAAAACTGGTTCACGACCAAGAAATTCGCCAAAATTTTGCATTTCACGAATACAAAAAGGGGGGGCCCAACAAAAACAGCCCCCCAAATTTTTCACTTTCCACGCCATTTTTTTCGCACACTCAAATTTTCGCTACTTCCTCTAATTACGGCCTTGATAAATTCAGATTAGCAATGTTTTATCAGCAAGTAGTGGCGAAACAGCTTCTCGCAGTGCCAGTACCCAGATAGGGCTTGCCATATCTGATTTTTGGTAAATATTTTTTTCTCAGTTGTTTGTTGGGCTATCTTATTGAAACGTGGGTAATGTATGATGGAAAGATGCTTCTTAACGCACACCAAAAGTGAAAGATGTTGGACGATAAATAATGAAGTTCACTGCTCAGCCATTAGAAACCCTTTAAAACTCTTAGGATTCACGCAATGTTAGTTTTCTCTGATATTCAAGGTTTTCTCAGTGTTATTCAAAGTTTTTATATTTAGTTTACTATTACACTGTGGATTCTGTGGTATAATTAACTATTTTTGTGCTTAAAACTCTTAAAAACAACGGATTGATCGTATTTACATACGACCCAGTGGGGAAATTAGGTTCGAGTCATGACCAAATCAGGTCGTGGCCAGAGTTTTGGAACGAAATATGATCGTGGCGAGAGGTTCCACCAAACACACACACAAATATATATATAATAAAATATATATATATATATATATATGTGTGTGTGTGTGTGTGTGTCTTGCTTAATATGTAAAACTGGTCAATTAGCAAGAACTCATTTAAAATTAAGTCCTTTCCAAAATTTTCTCTTATACGTTTAAAGATATATTTTTTTTCATTAATGTTAAAGTAAAAATTTATAATTTGCACCAAAGAATCTTGAAAACTTACCTAACCTTATTATAACAAGAAATTTTATTTTAATTTTTAAAGATTCGCCGGTAAAACTCCCGACCCGGCCTTTTCCAAGTGTGGCCCGTCTTGGCTCCCTCTTTAGGGAGTGTTTTAGACCTAAGTTTTCCCATTGGGAGAGGCACAAAGTAACCTCTAATCTTTGGGACAACTGTCCCCGGGGCCTAGCCCCAACAAGCTAGGCCTCTCTGGTCTGTCATCCCCGCACAAGGGGCGAAGGGAATGACAGTTTGTGGCTGTAAGTCCGCTCAGACACTACCAAACCTAAAAGGTTAGGCAAGGGTTTGCGATGTATAACAAGAAAATTTATTTTAGCCTAACCCAACTAAATATATTTTAGATTTGTTTACAATAATTTAATACTAAACAAACACAGGTGAAATATTTTTTTCGTTAGGTTTTAGAATGATTTTGGCGAAATTATTGCATACACAAATTTTCCCCTTGTCCTATATGGAAAATGAACGTTGCTATTTAAGCCAAGATCGCAAGTTCTGCCTATTCGGCACGACATATATATATATATATATTTTTATATATATATATATTTTATATTATATATATATATATATATATAAATATATTTTATAATATAAAATACCTGATTCTGGCTTGTCAGTGATTCAGAGAGTGCTTGTGGTTACCCCTTTTCAAATCCAGAGTGATATTTGTTGGTTCCTTGCGTTTGATGATCCAGCCACTCAAAATAATTTCATCTCTTTCCCTGTGGTGTGACTGTCTTGTGCTTTCACCGTTGGACTGGGGCGCACAGTTTCACTCACAATTCCATGCACACATCCTTTTTGTTTCTATTGTATACTTCAACTTCATTAATATTACTTTGACTTTTTTCCTATCTTCTTTTGATGTAATTGTGAAACAGATTCAGTTCGGATTTAGCTTTTTCTGAAATGTAATTCTCAAACTGCCACTCAGTTCCTGTTTTCGCCATTGCATATTTGTCTGTGGCTATTCTGGTCACCTCTATCTTCTTTTCTCTGGTTTCATTTTACTACTTTATATAATAATTTGTCCTTAACTTTCCAGTTTTGTTCTTCCTCTCCGAATTTTTGGTTATCTAACGTTCTCTCTCTTTTTTTTGCATTTTCTCGTCATTTTTCCACGTATAATGTTCTCTCCCCGCATCCCATGAAGTCTCAAGCCAAATGTTTCATCAACTCATTCAACGACTTTACTTAGAGCTCCTTTTTCCCATTGCACTGTTTTAAGGAAGTGTCTCGTTCCTTTTTAAGGCTCTCTTCTGCAGTCTGGCTTCTTCCTTCCTCAACCTGCTCCTCAATGTTTACTTTTATAGGTTATTCAAAATTTAGTACCGCACTGTCGTAAGCATACATACAAAGAATGGGTGAGACCTATATTCACTCTGTATATGACACACACACACACACACACACACACACACACACACACACACACACACACACACACACACACACACCGTCACTTGCAGTATTGCATACATACAAAGAGTAAAAAGGAGAAAAAGAGCCACAGAAATTCCCATATTCTGTTTCTTTTATATGAACTTGTTAGAAGCAAGATCCATTTTTTGCTGAGTTATCCCTTCTCTCACTCTTGTGTGACTGACATGCTGAGACAAACTTCTCTATCACTACTGTCGTGTGTGTGTGTACGCACCTAATTGTACTCACCTAATTGTGGTTGCAGGGGTCGAGACTCAGCTCCTGGCCCCGCCTCTTCACTGATCGCTACTGGGTCCTCTCTTTCTCTCTCTGCTTCCTGAGCTTTGTCATACCTCTTCTTAAAACTATGTATGGTTCCTGCCTCCACTACTTCACTTGCTAGGCTATTCCACTTGCTGACAACTCTATGACTGAAGAAATACTTCCTAACGTCCCTGTGACTCGTCTGAGTCTTCAGCTTCCAGTTGTGACCCCTTGTTTCTGTGTCCCCTCTCTGGAACATCCTATCTCTGTCCACCTTGTCTATTCCCTTGAGCTCTGGGACTAGCCTTGTTGCAAACCTTTGTACTTTCTCTAACTTCTTGACGTGCTTGACCAGGTGTGGGTTCCAGACTGGTGCTGCATACTCCAGTATGGGCCTAACATACACAGTGTACAGTGTCTTGAACGATTCCTTATTAAGGTATCGGAACGCTATTCTTAGGTTTGCCAGGCGCCCGTATGCTGCAGCGGTTATTTGGTTGATGTGTGCCTCCGGTGATGTGTTCGGTGTTATGGTCAACCCAAGGTCTTTCTCCCTGAGTGAGGTCTGTAGTCTTTGTCCACCTAGCCTATACTCTGTCTGCGGTCTTCTTTGCCCCTCCCCAGCATTTGGCTGGATTGAATTCGAGAAGCCAGTTACTGGACCACATGTCCAGTCCTGCCTCGTCCTCATCCGATTTAATTCTTATCAACTTCACGTCATCTGCGAACAGGGACACCTCAGAGTCTATTCCTTCCATCATGTCGTTCACATATATCAAAAATAGCACTGGTCCTAGAACTGACCCCTGTGGGACCCCGCTCGTAACAGGCGCCCACTGTGATACCTCTTCACGTACCATGACTCGTTGCTGCCTCCCTGTCAGGTATTCCCTTATCCATTGCAGTGCCCTCCCTTTTACATGCGCCTGATCCTCCAGCTTCTGCACTAATCTCTTGTGGGGAACTGTGTCAAAGGCCTTCCTGCAGTCTAGGAAAACGCAATCTACCCACCCCTCTCTCTCGTGTCTTACTTCTGTTACCTTGTCATAAAACTCCAGGAGGTTTGTGATACAAGATTTGCCTTCCATGAACCCATGCTGGTTTTCATTTATAATCTTGTTCCTTTCCAGGTGTTCGACCACTCTCCTCCTGATAATCTTCTCCATGACTTTGCACACAATACATGTCAGAGACACAGATCTGTAGTTTAGTGCCTCGTTTCTGTTTCCTTTCTTAAATATGGGGACTACATTAGCTGTCTTCCATTTCTCAGGTAGTTGCCCAGTTTCAAGGGATGTGTTGAAGATTGTGGTTAGAGGCACGCACAGCATCTCTGCTCCTTCTCTAAGGACCCATGGGGAGATGTCCGGTCCCATCGCCTTTGAGGTGTCAAGGTCACTTAAGAGCTTCTTCACCTCCTCCTCAGTTGTTTGTATGTCATCCAACACGTGTTGGTATATTCCCTCTTGATGTTCCCTTCTGTGCTGTCTTCCCACAGCCCTTCCTGTCTCTACTGTAAAAACTTCCTTAAATCTCCTGTTCAGCTCCTCACATACCTCCTGATCATTTCTTGTGAGTTCTCCACCTTCTGTCCTTAATCTGATCACCTGGTCTTTGACTGTTGTCTTCCTCCTGATGTGGCTATACAACAGTTTAGGGTCAGTCTTGATTCTCGATGCTATGTCATTTTCATACTGTCGCTGGGCCTCCCTCCTTGCCTGTGCATACTCATTCCTGGCTCTGCGACTGATCTCCCTATTTTCGTGTGTTCTCTGCCTTCTGTACTTTTTCCATTCTCTATTGCACTTTGTTTTTGCCTCCTTACACCGTCGGGTAAACCAGGGGCTCGTTCTGGTCTTCCCGTTGTTACTGTTGCCCTTGGGAATAAACCTTTCCACTGCCTCCTTGCATTTTGTTACATTTTCCATCATTTCATTTACTGGCTTTCCTGCCAGTTCTCTGTCCCACTGGACCTCCCGCAGGAAGTTCTTCAACCCTATGTAGTCCCCTCTTTTATAGTCAAGCTTTTCCCATTCAACTCCTCTGTGTGTGTGTGTGTACTCACCTAGTTGAGGTTGCGGGGGTCGAGTCCGAGCTCCTGTGTGTGTGTGTGTGTGTGTGTGTGTGTGGTGTGTGTGTGGTGTGTGTGTGTGTGTGTGTGTGTGGTGTGTTTTCGTGTGCACGCTCGTGTGTGCAGGGATACATAGGGTGCGGACTGTTTGTGTTCGTGCTTAATTGCCTCTTTGTATTAACTTATTTATGTTTTCAGGTAAGTAGATCCCGGTGATACCTCAGTTTTTTATTATGTGACAAGACTTAGTTCTGTCAAATATTTATCTTAACCTCTGCATGGACTACACTTCTGTGCTGTGTCATTTTATAGATGCATGAAAGAGGTTTGCTCAACAAGTTACCAGAGTGAATATAATGTCTTATGATTAAGCATTACATCGTTTATGTCATACCTTTGCTCAGTACATAACAACTTTGGCAATATTGCTTAGTAAACAAGAGACCAATGTTGTTATTGTTGTTTACCTTGGATATTAATAACTTTCTTCCAAAAGATCAAAATGTTTCTTTAAATCTGTTTCCTTGGAGTCACGCAAAAACACTTGGACAATGAAAACTTGGTTGATTTGGTTGTTATTCGAGTTACACTCACCAAGTTAGGGTTGTGAAAGTTTAGTTAGTTTAATATGTTTATTATGCACCCCATACCCATCCTGTGGGCGGTAGTCAAAAGATTACAGAGGTACATAATTGGTCCAGGGACTGGACTCCAAAGTTTTGATAGCTGAGCAAGTTACAGAGGCAATGAACTCACAATTTACAAAGGTAATGAACTCACAATTTACAAAGGTAATGAACTCACAATTTACAAAGGTAATGAACTCACAATTTACAAAGGTAATGAACTCCAGGTAAGTCTGGTCACAATCATGACAAGTTACAAAGGTATTTACAGATTACAGAGGTACGTAATGGGTCCAGGGACTGGGCCCCCAAAGTTTTGATAGCTGAACTAGGTACAAAGGTAATGAGCTCACAAGTTACAAAGGTAATGAATTCTGTAGAATGGTTACTTACGTTTATACTTTGGCTACAATCATGACGAGGCGAAGTTCGTGGTTCTCATCATAATTGTTCATGAAACTTTACATGTAGTTTCACTACTACTACCAGATCGTTCCACGTTTATGCTACTTTACAAATGAGAAAATGAGTTTTAATGTTCATATGTCTCATCTGTTGTTTAAGGTTCCACTGTTGTGTCTTGTCTCTTGCCTCATGTTAGTCTCTAATTAGCCTCCCTCGGAACGGCTCTGTCATCTCTGCTGTCGTAATAATGTAGTCGCTGTTTGTTATTTCTTAAAAAGCTGGTATATTTAATTCTTTACTTTGGCGCCGTGTTTTCCCTCTCGTTCTTCCTCAAGATTTAACAACTCTAAATATTCTTTCCATCTTCCCAACTCCTCTAATTCTCCTTTCTCCATCTCAACTTCATTTTTATGAGTAACCGTTAATTAATTAACTCTTAATTAATATCCTGTACTTTTTTATTTACAGTATAATTTGCAAATAAATCCTCACTACTCTGAACCTCTTTTTTCTATAGTCTACTCTCCGTATATCACTTCTAGATGTAAATGTTTTAGAAAACTAGCTTGTTGAAGAATTTAGGAATCTGTATTATAGAAATGTTTCATCAGTTAGTGGATTTTTCAGTCCAGTACAGAGAAGAACAGTGGAAGATGAGGAGTTTGAGGTTATCAGTCCCTCAGCCTGGAGTCGATATGTTCAGTCCATCAGTCTTGAGAAAAGTACTACATATGTATACAAGGAGAAATTGCTTATATACTGTAGACAGGTGACATGAAGCTGCAGGAAGCGTTGTCAGCTAGAGGAAAAATCCACTAGTGTAAGTGAGTCATGTCTGTAGGTTAGGCAAGTGAAGAATTCCCTGTATCAAGATCCCAAGATGGCGGCTCTCCAACTTGCTCCTCGATAATCGCATGGAGATGGAGAAAAAGAAATAAATGAGGCAGACAATGCACAAGAGAAGGGTTATTGCTGATGAGGGAAAGGTACATCGCCTACGAGATGATCACAAAAAGACTATGGGAAGAACTAGAAGAGATGAAGAAAAGGAGGTGTGAAGGAGAGACAAAAAGACTTTTGAGGAAATGCTCTCCAGCATCCGGTAGATGGAGATGAAATGGGGAGCAGCAATAAAACTGATAAGGAAAGACAATTAACTATGGAGGGAAGGGAAATGGGAGAAGGAGAGGAGTAGGATGTCGATGATAATCCACTAACTTTGGGATGCTGAAGGGATAACAGCTAGTGAGAAATGGGCAACGGAGGAAAGGGAGATTCATAATATTGCACTGACAGGTAAAAGACTGAGGTGATCAAAGTTATAAATTTTCAGAGAGCTGGAAAGTTTGCAAGGGGTAAAATACGACCGATGAACTTGATCCTCGTATCAGAAAAAGCATGAGATCGGATCTTGAAACAGAAACACATACTGACGAGGACATGAATATCATCAACTGAAGCTCGATTGGCATAGCTGAAGGAAAGAATAAGAAACAGTCGAAGACAGTAAAAACAATGACAGGGAAGCTTCACTTGTAGAGGTGCACCATGTGGAACGTCTGTCTGAAGGAAAATACCAACATCACATCTAAACAATCCATCAAATCCAAACCCTCCTTCCACTCAAACACAATAACGCAAAACAAGCCTTAGCATGACCCAAATCATCATCACATACGCTTCTATTCCTAATCCCTACTAGGGAAAGAGCTTTCTCACATCCACTCCCATCCCTCTTTCTCATTCTTTCCCACCCTCCCCATCCCTTTTCAAATATACCTAATGTCTCGCTCTGACCAAGTGGAATTCCCAACCCAACAACCAGCCCTCAGCTCTTATCCCCAATCTCCACTTCTCCCTATAACCCCCTCTCTTCCACTGACGTATGGCCAAGAATCGCGAGAAGAGGAAACTCAAAACCAGAGTCCAGTAACATAAAGGAATTGCTGATGATATACCATAAAAGAACAATGTATGTAAAGAAAGAATTGTTGATATTTGTTATTTTGCACACTGTGATACCACCTGCTTACAGTGATCTTATTGGATATATATATTATATAATATATATATATATATATATATATATATATATATATATATATATATATATATATATATATATTTTATTATTATTATTATTATCACACTGGCCGATTCCCACCAAGGCAGGGTGGCCCGAAAAAGAAAAACTTTCACCATCATTCACTCCATCACTGTCTTGCCAGAAGGGTGCTTTACACTACAGTTTTTTTAAACTGCAACATTAACACCCCTCCTTCAGAGTGCAGGCACTGTACTTCCCATCTCCAGGACTCAAGTCCGGCCTGCCGGTTTCCCTGAATCCCTTCATAAATGTTACTTTGCTCACACTCCAACAGCACGTCAAGTATTAAAAACCATTTGTCTCCATTCACTCCTATCAAACACGCTCACGCATGCCTGCTGGAAGTCCAAGCCCCTTGCACACAAAACCTCCTTTACCTCCTCCCTCCAACCTTTCCTAGGCCGACCCCTACCCCGCCTTCCTTCCACTACAGACTGATACACTCTTGAAGTTATTCTGTTTCGCTCCATTCTCTCCACATGTCCGAACCACCTCAACAACCCTTCCTCAGCCCTCTGAACAACAGTTTTGGTAATCCCGCACCTCCTCCCAACTTCCAAACTACGAATTCTCTGCATTATATTCACACCACACATTGCTCTCAGACATGACATCTCCACTGCCTCCAGCCTTCTCCTCGCTGCAACATTCATCACCCATGCTTCACACCCATATAAGAGCGTTGGTAAAACTATACTCTCATACATTCCCCTCTTTGCCTCCAAGGACAAAGTTCTTTGTCTCCACAGACTCCTAAGTGCACCACTCACCCTTTTCCCCTCATCAATTCTATGATTCACCTCATCTTTCATAGACCCATCCGCTGACACGTCCACTCCCAAATATCTGAATACATTCACCTCCTCCATACTCTCTCCCTCCAATCTGATATCCAATCTTTCATCACCTAATCTTTTTGTTATCCTCATAACCTTACTCTTTCCTGTATTCACTTTCAATTTTCTTCTTTTGCACACCCTACCAAATTCATCCCCCAATCTCGGCAACTTCTCTTCAGAATCCCCCAAGAGCACAGTGTCATCACCCAAAGGGGCTACTGGAAAAACTCCCCCCTTTAGGGAGTTTTTTTTATTTTTTAAAAACCCCAACCCTCTTCCCAAAGCCCCTCGCTTTTATTTTCTTTTTCAACCCCATCAAATAAATATTTTAAACAACCACGGTGAATCAACATCCTTGCCCAAAAGGCCTACTTTTACTGGGAAAAAATTTTCCCTCTTTCCTACTTTACCCCAAATTTTGAGCCTCACTATCCTCGTAAAAACTCTTCACTGTTTTCAGAAACCCTACCTCTCCCCACCATACACCTAAAATCTGCCACATTGCCCCCCTATCCACCCTTTTCCAAAACCCCTTTTCCTTTTTCCAAAATATAAATCCCACAAAAAACCTTTTTAAACCCTTATCTAAATATGTTCATTTATATTTTTTCACTGTAAACACCGGGGTCCACACACCCCCTCCCTTTCCAAAAGCCTCCTTTTCATCTGCTATCCTATTCCCCCGTTTTTTTTTAATTCTTTCAAAATAACTCTCCCATCCCACTTTCCCGGGTATACTAAAACCCAGATTATCCCCCTAAAAAAATTTTTTTGCACTCTTTTTATCCCCTTTGCCTTTTTTAAAAAAGGAAAACTTTGCATGCTCTTGCCAATCCCCTAGGTCCCTTACCCTCTTCCATACATTTATTAAAATTGCACCAACCACCCCAAAAAAACTATATCCCCCCCTGTTTTTTAATTTTTCTATCTTTACCCCATCAACCCCCGGCGCCTTTCCCCCCTTTCATTTTCCCTACTCCCCTTCACGAATTTCCCCCACACTCACAACTGCTCTTTCCTCACTCCTACGGGAGGGTTTTTCCTTTTTTGCCCTATTACGAAATCACAGTTTCCCCAAACTTTCTTTCAACATTTAACAATTCCCAAAATATTCCCTCCATTTTTCCCTTTCCTCTAACTCTCCTTTTAAATAATCTCCCCCTCCTATTTTTAACTGCAAACCATTTTTGTTCTATAGGCTTTTTTTAAAATTTTTTGTTAATCTCACTCCAAAATTTTTCTTATTTGAAAAAAATTTTGTTGATAACATCTACCCCCCTTCTCTCATTTGCCCCTTTTTTTAAATTGTTTTCACCCCCTCTCTTACCCTTCTCTTTTTCTCCATTTACTTTCCCCCCCCTTGCATCACTTTTTCTTTTTTTAAAAATTTCATTTGCTAACTTTTTTTCCCTTTTCTAATTTTTTTTTAAACATCTCTTCCACCAATGCTCCTTTCCCTCCCCCCACCCACTTTCCTGTAACCAAAACTTTGGGGGAAACATCAAAACACTTTTTTTTTTAAACCCTCCCCAACCCCTCTTCGACCCTTTCCCAAAATGCCCCTTTTTTCCCCAACAAACCCCAAAATAGGGGTTTAATCTTCCCAAAACTGCCCCCTTTTATTTTTTCCTTCCCCTCCCTTTTCCCCTGTTGCTTTATTCTCCTTGACCCCAACTACCTTTTACTTAGTGTGCACAACTAAAAAAGTGATTATATATCTGGGCCCCTCTTAAAAATGTACATTTTTGAAGTAACTCAGAAGTATACTCAGTATACAAAAAAAACCCAAATACTTTTCATTTCGCCCTAATAATTTGTTTTACTTTTTTACCCTCTTTTTCTTAAAATATTTGTTTCCTAAAAACCAAAAACCCCTTTCTATAAAAAGGGTTCAATAAAAGGGGCCCCCATTCATTTACCCCTGGCACCCCCAAATTAAACCCTACCTAAACCCTCTCAAAAAGTTTCTCCTATTTAGCATTCAGGTCCTTCCCCAAAATTTACTCCTCCTTGGTTCAAAGGCCCCTAAAAACTTCACTTAACATCTCCCCAAAATCGGTTCTCTCCTCTGTTTCCCTTTCCTCTTTCCCAGGTGTTTACCCCAAAAATTAGGCCCCACTTTTCGCACCCAAACCTTATTTTAAATCCCAAAATTTCTTAAATTTTTACCATTATTTCTTTTTTCCCCCTTTCCCAAAAATGATCCTTAAACATTACTGTTACCCCTCCTTTGCTCTAACTCTTCAGTTTACTCCCAGATTTAACCCCATTTATTTCCCCCCCCCGAAATTTCCCCTACCCCCTTCACCCTTTGTTTCGTTGGGGCCCAAAGGAAAATCCAACTTCTTTTCTTTCATAACATCAGAAAATCATCTGTTTTTTTGGGCCCTTCCGCACTACATCCACGAAATTTAAAAGGGCATCCCATTTTTATTTTAAATATTTATTTTTTTTTTTTTTTTTTAAACCCACACCCGGGCGTTTTCCCCCCAAAGGCGGGGTGGCCCAAAAAAAAAAAAAAAACTTTCCCCATCATTCCCCTCCATCACGGGTCTTGCCAAAAGGGGTGCCTTTACATACAGTTTTTAAACTGAACTTTAACACCCCTTTCAGAGTGCAGGCATGTATTCCCATCTCCGGACTCAAGTCCCCCCTCCCGGGTTTTCCCCTGAACCCCTTCATAAATGTTATTTTCCCTCACACCCCCCAACACACGAAAAGTTTTAAAAAACCCTTTTTGTTCCATTCATTCCTATAAAAACCCCTCACGATGCCTGCTGGAACCCCAACCCCCTGCACAAAAAACCCCTCCTTTCCCCCCTCCCCCCAAAACCCTTTTCCCTAGGCCGCCCCCAAAACCCCCCTTCCTTCCACTACGATTTATACACTCTTGAAATCTTTTCTGTTTCGCCCATTCTTCTCCCATGCCCAAACCCACCTCCAAACCCTTCCTACCCCTTCGGGACAACATTTTTGGGTTTAATCCCGCACCTCCCCCAAAACCCCCCAAACCCAAACGAATTCTCTCAAAAATATTCACCCCAAAACCCATTTCCCCTTCAAACATAAAACTCCACTGCCCCCACCCTTTTCCTCGCTCCCAAACATTCATCCCCCCAACGCTTCCCCCCCATATAAGAGCTTTGGGTTTTAAAACTAAAACTTCATACATTTCCTCTTTGCCCCCAAGGACAAAGTTTTTTGGTCTCCACAGGACTCCTAAGTGCACCATCCCTTTTTTCCCCTCATAAAAACTATGATTCCCCCAAAATTCTTCATAGCCCCATCCGTGACACGCCCCACCCCCAAATTATTGAATACGTTCACCCCCTTTCCAAACTCTCTCCCTCCAATCTGATTTTTTCAATTTTTCATCACCTAATTTTTTTTTGTTATTCAAAACCCTTTTACTCTTTCCGGTATTACCTTTTTAATTTTCTTCTTTGCACACCCTCCCAAAAATTTACCCCCAAAATCTCTGCAACTTCTCTTCAAAATTTCCCCCAAGGGCCCCAGTGTCATCAGAAAAAGAGCACTGGGGAAAAAACCCCCCACTTTGTGTGTGTTTCTTTATCTTTTAACCCCACCCCTCTTGCCAAAGCCCCCTCCCCTTTTCTTCTCTTAAAACCCCCATTATAAAAAAAATTAAACAACCATTTTTGAATCAACACCCTTTTGTCAAACCCCCTACTTTTACTGGGAAAAAAATTTCCCCCCTTTCTTTCCTACATACTCAAACTTGGGGCCCTTTCATACCCTCGAAAAAACTTTTCACTGCTTTCGAAACCAAACCTCCTACACCAAAACCTTTTTGCAACATCTCCAAATTCCCCCCTTCCCCCCTGTCTTACCCCTTTTTCCAAATCCATAAATCCCACAAAGCCCCTTTTTAGCCTTTTAAAAAAAAAATACTTTTCACTTATATGTTTCACTTTTAAAACACCTGGTCCACACCCCCCCAAACCTTTTCCAAAAGCCCCCTTTTCATCTGCTACCCAAATTCCCCGTCTTCCCTTTAATTCTTTAAATTTAAAACCCTCTACCAACACTTTACCAGGTACACTCAACAAAATTTACCCCCCTAAAATTTTTTGCCCCTTTTTTTTAAACCCCTTTTGGGCCCTTTTTATAAAAAGGGAAAAACTATGAAAGCTCTTCCCAAATCCCTAGGAACCTTACCCCCCTTCCATACATTTTTTAAAAAATAATTGCACCAACCACTCCAAAACTATATCCCCACCGTTTTAACATTTCATCTTTACCCCCATCAACCCCGGCTCCCTTTTCCCCTTTCTTTTTAACCTACTCCCTTTCACGAACTTCCCCCCCACTCACAACTGACTCTTCCCACTCCTAAAAAGAGGGTTATTCCTTTTTCCCCTTTTCACAAAAACAAGTTCCCCTTTCCCCTTCCCACCCAACTTTTAACAATTCCCCCAAAAATATTCCTTCCATCTTCCCAATACCTCAAACTCCCTTTTAAAAATCTCCTCCCCAATTTTTAAAACTGAAAAAATCCATTTGTTCTCTGGGGTTTCTTAAGGGTTAATTTTCACTCCAAAACTTTTTCTTTTTTCAAAAAAATTTTTTTGATAAAATCTCCCCCACTCTTCATTTGCTCTCTTTTTTACATTGCTTAACACCTTTTAAACTTCTTTCTTTTTCCCATATACTTTCCCCTCTTGGCATCACTTCAAACTTTGAAAAAAAATTTTAATATGCAAATTTTTTTCCCTCCCTTCCCTAATCTCTTTACTTCATCTTTCCCAAACAATCGCTCCTCTTCCCTCCTGCCCCCCCTTTCCTGTAACCAAAAATTCTGCTGAACACTTAACATTTCATTTTTAAAAACCCACCCCTACCTTTTTCGGGAAACCCCCTTGCCTATGCTCTCAATTTGCCCCTCTATTCCCCAATAGGGTGTTTATAAACTTACCCCAACTGCCTCCCCTTTTAGGGGGTTTTTAAACCCTTTAAAATCTCTCTTCCCTGATGCTTCTATTTTCCTTGTATCCCTCAAACCCTTTTTCTCCAGTGTAGTTCAACAGGAAAAATGAATCTGATAATTGGGCCCCCCTATAAACTTTTTTAATCCCGAATCTTCTCAAAGTCTTTTATCTACCAATACATAATCCAAAAAATTCTGTAATTTTTGCCCTTTTAAAATTCGTGGATATTAAATTTTTCCTCTTTTTCTTAAAAAAAAGTATTTCCATAAAATAAAACCCCCTTTTTATACAAAGTTCAAAACAAAGGGCTCCCCTTATCATTTTAAAATCCCGGCCAAAATTTCCCACTACCACAACCCCCCTAAAAGTTTCCCCCCTACTTTAGCATTCAAGTCCCCACCCCAAAATTTTCTCTCTCACTTTTTTTAAAGGTTCCCATACATTCACTTAACCCTCTCCCAAAATCTCTCTTTCCTCTGCATTCCCCTTTTTCTCCGGTGAAACACGTTTTATGGGCCCCACTTCCGCATCCAAACCCTTTTCTTTTTAAACCCATAATTCTTGAATTTACACCCTTTATATTCTTTTTTTCTCCTTCCATAACTGATCATTTTAAAAACTGCTACCCCCTTCCCTTTTCTCTAAAAAATTTTTCAATATCCAGATTTAATCCCCTTTATTTCCCCCCCTGAAACCGCCCACCCCCTTCAGCTTTGTTTCGTTAGGGCCAGGACAAACCAAATTTTTTTCAAATTTATAAAATAGCAATCATCTTTTCTTGTTTATCCCCACTAAATCCACGGGCCTTTAAGCAAAACCCCCGTTTTATAAAAATTTTTTTCTTCTTTTTTTTAGTAATTGTATACAGGAGAAGGGGTTACTACCCATTTTATATATATTAAATATATTATTTAAATTTTTATATATATATATTTTAAAAATTTTATAAAAATATATATGTGTGTGTGTGTGTGTGTTTGTATATGGGAGGTACCACCTCCAAAAGCTGGAATGGGGACTCTATCCCCAGAGAAAAACAATAAAAGTACCCCAGGGGGGGAAAAATTTAAGGGGTTTCCCCGGAGCTGTTTTTTATTTTCCCTTTTCCTTTAAACCCCCCCCTTTTTTTTTTTCTATGGAACATTTATTAATAAAAAAAATACATTTTTTAGAAAAAACACAAAAAAAAACAAGAGGGGAAAAATGTAAAAAAGATCAAAGAAATTTTCCCCCAGTCTTCCGAAGCCCGGGCGTAGCCAAGTAAAGCAGCAAGCATTTCCCCCCCTTTAAAGGGCCCCGCTGAGGCCCCGGAAACATGGGGAAAATGGTGGCCCCCTTGGGCTTGGGGTTTTCGATGAAATTGGAACCCAATTCTTTGAGGAAAAGTGTGGCATTTTTTCCCTTTAAACCCCAAAATCTCTGATCCCCCTGGGACAAAAATTTTATTGTTTTATATTATATATATAAAATTTATTTATTATAAAATATATATAAAATTTTTATATATTTATATATATTCGTGCTGATAGGTAAAATTGGCCAAATTTGCAAAAAAAACTCATTTAAAAATTAAATCTTTTTTAAAATTTTTTATATACGTTTAAAGATATATTTTTTTTTTTTTTATTTTTTAAAGTAAAAAAATTTAAAAATTTGTACCAAAGAAAAACCCTTTTTAAATTTTTGGAAAATTTTTTTAAGGAAATTTTTTTAAATTTTAAGGGAAAAAATTTTTTTGTTGGGTGGTTTTAGAACCCCGGATGTTTGCAAAAATAAATGCCTTTTTTGATGGAATTTTTTGGGGGGGTTCAATTTCTGGCATTAAAAAATTTTTGTCTGGAGTGGAGGGCCCTTGGGGCGTGTCCCTCCTTTAAAAAGTTTTTTTTGTTGGTTTTTAAATTTCTGTATTTTTGTCAGTGTCCCCTTTCCTTTTGGCACTAAAAAACCTCCTTCTCTGGAGAGGTTATTGCTCTCCTATTCTGTTTCCCATAGTCCGGCTGTGTCTTCTTGTCTTGTTTAGATGGTGTGCCTGGCAGTATGCGTTGTAGCATTTTCTTTCATGGACTGACGAGTGACACATTTCGGGGTGAAATAAGTTACAGGAAGGGGGCTTGCACCCCTCTGTTGTCATGTGGGTGCGGCATTTTTTGGGATGGTCAAAGGTGCCTGTCCCAACTGTTTTTTTTCCAGATATACCATGCCTGCAGGTACCCAAGGCATAGAATTGGCATAGATTGGAATTTTGTTTGCAAGGATTTTTTTGTGGCTGCATTCCCTGCTGGTGCATTTTCTTCCCCTTTTCCCACTACCTACCGCCCCTTTATCAACATCAATGCTTCAAGTTTTTACTGGTAGTGTGTGTACACTATTTCACCAGGCATCATCCCCTTTTGTTCCGTCTCCAGCAGTATAGCTACTTTGTACCTCTGTAAATTATATAACGTAGTCTTTACCTGTTTCATCACAAAGGCCACTGTCTCCATTTGGTGCACTGTTCTCCAAACCCCACTAGTACCCTCTGGGGCTCTGCCCTCCAAGACAGAACCCTATATGCAAAACAATCGCAGACATGTGTCCTTAATGCAAGACAAGTTACGGGGGGTTGAAATCTTTAGCTAAAGTTCTTTCACACTTTTCAGAGCTGTGCAAATGAGAAATGAGGAGAAATTTTCTCAGAGGATAGTAGCTAGTAGCGTAAGTGACTCCACCAGTGTTGCTCTCAGAAATGCGAGAGCCACGGCCGAATGCCACATACCCACATGCCCCCACACCCCACCCCATATGGGATCGGGTAGGCTTGGTCTCCAAGTTTGTGGATAACAGGACAAAGGAAACTAAGAGGTTTAATAGCTAGTCCTAAGCTTCTTTTTATCGCTGAGAACAGGTCATGTGCCATACAAGATTAACAATCGTAGATAGCACATATACAAATTGCAGCTATGATGTGTAACCTTCTAATTAATATACTAGAAGGGACGAATGCGCTTATCAAGTGCTGCCTACCACTATTCTCGGTGTCCATTAATTTGCGTGTGTTATTTATGGATCTTTCTAATAATCCAATTATTCTTTACGATAATAACTAGACAATTCTTGATTTTTTTCTTTAAACACCACGAACTTCCTAATACTTTAAATCGCTAAACAAGTTGCAATCATCATGTTGCAATAATCTTTATGTACCTTTGTACCGCTGTATTTAGACAGGTTAGGACCTCCAAAGGTCATTCTGTTTACCTCTAGGCAATCCACACATGCGTGCTACATCCTTACTACTAATGTTATATAGATCAAATTGTAGTCAGTGATTGCAGCCACTTGGTCTCGTGTACCTGTAGCCTTAAAATACCTTTATGCAGTAGTAGCTAAGCGTGTTATACATTGTGCCGACGTTCACACGGACTTAAAATGTTATACATTATATCGACGTTCCCGACGGACTTAACATAATATTAAATATTGTATAACGACGGGCGTAACATGATGATCAGTTTCTAGACTGGTCGAACGACACCAGACCATCAAGAGATTCCCTGGCATAATGAGCAATCCTGTGCTTTTGTATAATATTGTTGTTTAAGGCTGTACACAACAGACTCCACTAAATAGTTATCGAGTTTAGTTATATACAGCATTCCTGTCACGTTTCAAAAGCGAGAACTCAATTATGTTTCTTTACACGACAGAACCATTGGGTACAATAATTTGGGCTGCAGCCCACCCTGGTGAATGATTACACAAGCTAACATGGTTAAAGATAGCATTCAACATCTGGCCAGTACTGACTAAATACTGGTGCTGGGAAAATCTGGTTTCTAGAGGTTTACCTGTCTGACGAATATATGAGTGGGGGCAAAGAGTGCATGAGACCTTGTAAACACCATCCATATTATTAGGTGGTGTGTTTTTAATCAATATCTGTTTCACTGTCCCAGTGTTTTTGAAAGAAATAGTGGTAATAATGGTAGGCAGCATTTGGGAATATATGCTGAGATCCTCCCGAGTGTTTCTCTTCCCTGATGCTTTATTCTCCTTGTATCCCATCTACCTTTTACTCTCAGTGTAGCTACAACTAGAAAGTGATCTGATATATCTGTGGCCCCTCTATAAACTTGTACATCCTGAAGTCTACTCAACAGTCTTTTATCTACCAATACATAATCCAACAAACTACTGTCATTTCGCCCTACATCATATCTTGTATACTTATTTATCCTCTTTTTCTTAAAATGTGTATTACCTATAACTAAACCCCTTTCTATACAAAGTTCAATCAAAGGGATCCCATTATCATTTACACCTGGCACCCCAAACTTACCTACCACACCCTCTCTAAAAGTTTCTCCTACTTTAGCATTCAGGTCCCCTACCACAATTACTCTCTCACTTGGTTCAAAGGCTCCTATACATTCACTTAACATCTCCCAAAATCTCTCTCTCTCCTCTGCATTCCTCTCTTCTCCAGGTGCATACACGCTTATTATGACCCACTTCTCGCATCCAACCTTTACTTTAATCCACATAATTCTTGAATTTACACATTCATATTCTCTTTTCTCCTTCCATAACTGATCATTTAACATTACTGCTACCCCTTCCTTTGCTCTAACTCTCTGATACTCCAGATTTAATCCCATTTATTTCCCCCCACCGAAACTCTCCTACCCCCTTCAGCTTTGTTTCGCTTAGATCCAGGACATCCAACTTCTTTTCATTCATAACATCAGCAATCATCTGTTTCTTGTCATCCGCACTACATCCACGCACATTTAAGCATCCCAGTTTTATAAAGTTTTTCTTCTTCTCTTTTTTAGTAAATATCTACAGGAGAAGGGGTTACTAGCCCATTGCTCCCGGCATTTTAGTCGCCTCATACGACACGCATGGCTTACGGAGGAAAGATTCTTTTCCACTTCCCCATGGACAATAGAAGAAATAAAGAAGAACAAGAGCTATTTAGAAAAAGGAGAAAAACCTAGATGTATGTATGTATATATGCATGTGCGTGTCTGTGAAGTGTGACCAAAGTGTTAGTAGGAGTAGCAACATATCCCTGTTATCTAGCGTGTTTGAGACAGAAAAAGAAACCAGCAATCCTACCATCATGCAAAACAGTTACAGGTTTCTGTTTCACAGTCATCTGGCAGGACGGTAGTACTTCCCTGGGTGGTTGCTGTCTACCAACCTACTACCTTATATATATATATATATATATATATATATATATATATATATATATATATATATATATATATATATAATGTGTGTGTGTGTGTACTCGCCTAATTGTGGTTGTAAGGATCAATTCATAACTCCTGGCTTTACATTTGGTGGAGTTAAACTCCAGAAGCCAGTTGCTGGACCATGCCTGCAGCCTCACCAGATCACTTTGTAATTCTGCCTGGTCCTCGTCCGATTGAATTCTTCTAATCAATTTCACATCTGCAAACAGTAACACTTCGGAGTCTATTCCTTCCGTCATGTCGTTCACAAATGCCAGAAACAGCACCGGTCCGAAGACTGACCCCTATGGAACCCCGCTCGTTATAGATGCCCACTCTGACACCTCATCACGCACAATGACTCGCTGTTGTCTTTCTGACATGTATTCTCTGATCCATTGTAGTGCCTTCCCTGTTATCCCTGCCTGGTCCTCCAGCTTTGGCATTACTCTCTTGTGTGGAACTTTGTCAAACGCCTTCTTACAGTCCAGGAAAACGCAATCTACCCACCCCCTCTCTCTCTTGTCTTACTGCTGTCACCCTGTCATAGAACTCCAGTAGGTTTGTGACACAGGATTTCCCGCCCCTGAACCTGTGCTGGCTGTCGTTGATAAGCTCGGTCCTTTCTAGGTGCTCCACCACTCTTCTGATAATCTTCTCCATAACTTTGCATACTATACATATTAGTGACACTGGTCTATAGTTTAGTGCTTCTTGTCTGTCTCCTTTTTTTTAAAGATTGGGACTACTATTGCTGTCTTCCATGCCTCAGGTAGTCGCCATGTTTCAATAAATGTGTTGAAGATTGTTGTTAGAGATACACATAGCGCCTCTGCTCCCTCTCTCAGGACCCATGGAGAGATGTTATCCGGCCCCATCGCCTTTGAGGCATCTAGCTTGCTTAGCAGCCTCTTCACTGTAAGGTGTCCAATACTTGATGGCGAATCCTGTCTCTCTGTCTTTCTGGAGTCCCTTCTGCCTCCACTGTGAACACTTCTTTGAATCTCTTGTTGAGCTCATCACATACTTCGCAGTCGTTTCTTATGATCTCTCCTCCTTCCTTCCTCAGCCTGATTACCTGGTCCTTAGCTGTTGTTTTCCTCCTGATGTAGCTGTGCAACAGCTTCGGGTCAGGTTTGCCTTTCGCTGCTATGCCATTTTCATATTGCCGTTGAGCCTCCCTTCTTACCTGTGCATATTCATTTCTGGCTCTACGACTTCTTTCCTTATTTTCCTGGGTCCTTTGCCTTCTATACTTTTTCCATTCTCTAGCACACCTAGTTTTGGCTTCCCTACACCTAAGAGTGAACCAAGGGCTCATCCTGGCTTTCTCGTTATTTCTGTCACCCTTCGGTACAAACCTTTCTTCGGCTTCCGTGCATATTGTTGTTACATATTCCATTATCTCGTTTACTGACTTCCCTGCCAGTTCTGTCCCATTCAACAACGTGAAGGAAATTCTTCATGCCTGCATAGTCCTCTTTCTTGCAGTTGGGCTTCATTCGTCCTGCCCTTCCTGCTTCCCTCTCCACTTGTAACTCTACTATGTATTCAAAGCTCAGAACCACATAATCACTGGCCCCTACTGGTCTTTCTTATGTGTTGTCCTCAATATCTGCACTACTCAAGGTGAATACTAGGTTCAGTCTCGCTGGTTCATGCTCTCCTCTCTTTCTGATAGTTTCCCTTACGTGTTGGTACACGAGGTTCTCCAGTGTGTGTGTTTGTGAGACTGAGAGCTAATCTTTGTAAATAATTTTGCGTGTTTCCGAATTGTTAAGCATTTCAAAATATCTCTCGTTGTTCACTGTATGTGGCAGAAATAACCTGTCACTTGCTTGATGTCCCGGAGTATGGGTCTGACCGATTAGCTTATGCTATGCGCCCATACTTATCCGGGTTATGCTCAAGTGAAGAAGGTACTACCTACTTTCATACAGTGTGTGTAGGTTCGAATCTTACTGTGGACTGAGAGATAATGTTTGTAAATAATTTCGCCTGTTTACGAATTGTAATACACTCCCGCAGAAAGACTGTAGCCACCATGATTTGAATCCACGATTGTTGTTGCTCACGAGTGTCGCTTAAGTTTCCTCCAAGATGCCTTAATCCTCTTAACTACAGATGCCCAAAAAAGTTTTTCTTCCTAGCGACAGTCACACCAGGAAGCCTCAGACTTGGTCTCCAGCTATTTCACTATTTCATTCCCCTCCTGTATGTCTTGGCGTCACGAGCGATACGATATGAATGTACCTAACAGGAACAAAGACATCCCCGTATCCTTTCACAAACTTCATAACTTTG